GAGCGATACGGTCGCTGAGACAGCCGGCTGTTCAGGAACCGATGCTGCAACCACTGTGACGGCTGGTTTGTCTCCTTTCTGCACCACAATCCCTGGAGCGCCCGGTTGGCGTCCAACAGGCTCAACTACCCTTGGAGCGGCCGGTTGATCTCCATTGTGCACTGCATGCAGTCCCTGCAGCAGACAGTAGGCGTCCAACCGGCGCAGCTACCCTTGGAGCGGCCGGGTGATCTCCATTCTGCACTGCAGTCCCTGTTGCGGCCAGTTGGCGTCCAACCGGTGTAGCTACCCCAGGAGCGGCCCGTTGGTCTCCATTCTGCACTGCAATGCTCGAGCGGCTTTTAGCAAAGTAGCTGCTGAGAGTTTGTGAAAGGATTTCCCTGCTCAGCCTCAAGTACTCCTCTTCTAATTTCTTGTTCAGCTGAACAATTGACAACTGACAACAGTCGTTTTTCTCACAATAGCCTCTGTTCTCGCTTTCAGCCATGGCAGTGATATTGTTGCTCTGTGTGCAACGAAATAATGGTTGGTAAAATCAGCGGTCGGCACAGCCTGTCAGTGGCCGGTGGTATGTGGTAGCGGCCGGTTCTAAGGGAGGAGCGACTGTAGAACAACTCGGCGGGCGTTGCAACGGGGAAGCGGCCGGTTCTACGGAGACGTGGCCAGTTCTCAAAAGCTGCCGGTTCTTCGAAGACGTGGCTGTAGCATAATTCACCTGCCGAAGGAAGGAGAAGCGGCTGGTATTTGAAAGCGGAGGGGATCACCAAGAAGTGGTTAGCGCGGCCAGTGTATGGAGAAGTGGCCGGTGCTCGAAAGTGGTGTTTACTACGGGGATTTGGTCGGTGCAGTGAGTACAACTGAATAACAATGCAACACAGTCCCGCACTTTAAGCCTACTTGAGTTTTTTCTTTCGGCTCCGGTTTTCACCCCCGCCAAATAACCTAGTTAATTATGCTACACAAAATGCACAACTTCAATCCCGCTGCTGCCACCAATGTAATGTCCACCGAGCGGTCTTTGGCCTGATTGGGGGATCGACTTCCGGATGTTGGAAATGTGTAGGCCTTCACTAGAATTTCGTAGCCTAAGGATGGGGCCTGTACCCTATTTAAAAAAATCACCTCACAGATGCACAAGGTTGGCTTCCAACTCTCTCTTTTATTTCTAAGGAAAGAACAAGAAGAAACGCTACTTACAGCAGTAAGTTCACCCCGTTGCCCGTGACTTTCGTTTCTTGTCTATATTCACCAAATACGTAACATCCGACAACTGAAGGTTACCCGGATGCGGTCGTACATTCCATTCTCTCTGCTGCTTTACAAATTACATCCCTGCGCGCTCACATGTCTGAGCGAACGCGTCCAAAAACTTTTATTTAATTTGCATTTAGAATGGGCGCTCTGCCAACTTGCAGTGGTGCAGTATTGTTACAAGATAAATGATTTTGGAGCTTTCGTAATTCTTCAAACGTCATGTTTATTTGTTCACAAGTTGGGTATTGAAGAGGCTGTGATGGAAATGTTTTAGGAAATGAGGTGAAATATTTTTGGGGGAGGGAAGAGATAGATATTGTCCTATTGAATTCTAAAGTTGAATACTCTAATGCTAATAGAAATCAATCTTGAGAAATCAGAAAACAGAGTCATTAATTAAAAAAGGTCTGGAAGCTCTTTTTCCCCAAATAATCGATAAGGAGGGTGGGCATTAGAATGGAATCTTTTTTGTATTCATTGCAGTTAGATATTTCCCAGTTCTTACCATACTCACAATATAGAGCGAACGCAGTAAGATTTACTCATGCATGTGACCCCAATTTCCTTGAAACCCGTGAAGTACCTTCCAAATAAATGAAGACATGGATTTNGGGTCCTGACCACTCAGTTTTGACCAGGGTAGGTAACCCAAGAACATGATGTTGGCGTTGTATCATTTTGTTCGTTATACGGCAGCGTGTAAGGGTTGAAACCTATAGAGGCATACAGAGGCTGCTTGTTAATTCTTTCGAAGTCGTAATTTCGTCGCGGCGAGTTACATCGGCGAAAAAAAAACCACGAAAGCACACGTTTTCAAGAACTGAATTACAATGCCCAGGCTTTTTGACCTCACAACACGTGTTTGCTCGACGTACGGATCACTCTTTTCGGGCGCCGGGCGAAACGAAAACCCGTGTCAATAAAGGCTGCTCGAACTCCACCATAAACGCTATTTAAAAATTCAAATAATCAATACGCTAAAAAGTCTCTCAAGAGGGCGCTATTCAATAGATGGGGACTCGTGTTGGCAGAAACTTGTTTTCTTGGGGGCGCTCTTTTATAAACCCGTGCAAAGTGATTTTCTTGAGGGCGCTCTTTAATTGGGATTGGGACTCGTTTAGGCAGAAACTTGTTTTCTTGAGGGCGCTGTTTTATAATCCCGTGCAGAGTGATTTTCTTTCTTGAGGGCGCTCTTTAAGCTAAGTATTGCAGCGCCCTCAAGGGTTTTTTTTCAGAACATTAATTAAATTGCGCCCTCAAGGAATCAATAATGTTGCAAATGTAAATTTCCACTTTGGGGGGATGGGCTTGTTTGGGGCGGAAAATTCAAATATTCATTGGTTAACCTACAACAATTTGAAAATCAAATGAAATCTTACGGACCAAACAACACATTATTTTTTGTTTTAGAGGCCTCAGAGACTTCGTTTGCCCGGAATGGGGCTCCGAACCTTGCTGATTTTACTCCGTAGTTTTCAACGGAGCTGGAATTTGTTCAGTGCACCCTACAGTCCGTTCAACCTGTAGGGCGCCCTCAATCATATCGCAATTTTCCGTAGACTGGCTCCCATGCCAGACGGTAATTTGTTTTTACACCGTAGCCGATCAGCCGTACCCAGAGGGTAAGGGCTCTAGTCGTGCTAACTCGCGCCTGAAAAGAGACTAGTACTGTGTATTACACAATACACTACGCGTGTTACGAGATCCCAACCATGCGAGNGAGTCCTGACCACTCAGTTTTGACCAGGGTAGGTAACCCAAGAACATGATGTTGGCGTTGTATCATTGTGTTCGTTATACGGCAGCGTGTAAGGGTTGAAACCTATAGAGGCATACAGAGGCTGCTTGTTAGTTCTTTCGAAGTCGTAATTTCGTCGCAGCGAGTTACATCGGCGCAGCATCTAATTGATATCCCGCCACGCCGAATATCTTATTCAGTAACAGGTAGTTTCATAAATCGTTCATAGCGTTTCATCGTTCTGAAATGTATCCTCAGAGTGGTATGCAGTGAGTCTGGGTTTTACATTACTTGAAACAAAGAGATCTTCAGGCGTGAGACAAAACAAAAAGGGTTTAAAATAATAATAATAAATAACCAAAATAAATTTGAAAACGAGATATCATTCCGCTGATTCTCTTATGTTAACAAGTTGTGTCGGGTAATATTTCACCATCCTTCCTGCATATCCAAAAAACAAGACAGAAAAAAATGCAGCCTGCCCCCAGGTACAATCTTGGCTCCGCCCCAGTAGTGCATTTCAAAACAGCTTGATTTGCACTAACTCCCCCCACCCCCGTCCAAAAAAAGAGATATCTCAGTTTTTGGTGTGGATGCTAATACTCTGAAGTTAGATGGACTACTTTGTCTTCTTGGTAGACTGTCAATTGGAAGGATCATACAAACAATCATTGACATTAGCGCAGGGGGGACCCTGAATTATTAAGAATATCCAACACCCCCCCCCCAGCCAAAAAGGTAAAAAATAAAAATAGAAAAGAAAGGATATGACAATTATCGATTTGCTCTAGAAAAGAAAGAAAATTGAACCTCTCCAGCTCTTTAAAATTATTTGCCTTACCTTGTATTTACCGTACCCTGATGAAAAAGCCCCTTCATATTTTTATCCAAGCGTGTTGTCATAAAAAACCTCGATCATGGAAACATGTGAACTCGATATCATTTTAATAATAAAATTTGCAATAATTTTGGCGATTTCAATGGGCAAAAATGTAACACTGAAAAAAAAAACCACGAAAGCATACGTTTTCAAGAACGGAATTACAATGCCCAGGCTTTTCGACCTCACAACACGTGTTTGCTCGACGTACGGATCACTCTTTTCGGGCGCTGGGCGAAACAAAAACCCGTGTCAATAAGGGCTGCTCGAACTCCACCATAAACGCTATTTAAAAATTCAAATAATCAATTCGCTAAAAAGTCTCTCAAGAGGGCGCTATTCAATAAATGGGGACTCGTGTTGGCAGAAACTTGTTTTCTTGAGGGCGCTGTTTTATAATCCCGTGCAGAGTGATTTTCTTTCTTGAGGGCGCTCTTTAAGCTAAGTAGTGCAGCGCCCTCAAGGTTTTTTTTTCAGAACATTAATTAAATTACGCCCTCAAGGAATCAATAATGTTGCAAATGTAAATTTTCACTTTTGGGGGATGGGCTTGTTTGGGGCGGAAAATTCAAATATTCATTGGTTAACCTACAACAATTTGAAAATCAAATGAAATCTTACGGACCAAACAACACATTATTCTTTGTTTTAGAGGCCTCAGAGACTTCGTTTGCCCGGAATGGGGCTCCGAACCTTGTTGATTTTACTCCGTAGTTTTCAACGGAGCTGGAATTTGTTCAGTGCACCCTACAGTCCATTCAACCTGTAGGGCGCCCTCAATCATATCGCAATTTTCCGTAGACTGGCTCCCATGTCAGACGGTAATTTGTTTTTACACCGTAGCCGATCAGCCGTACCCGTACCCAGAGGGTAATTGGCTCTAGTCGTGCTTACTCGCGCCTGAAAAGAGACTAGTACTGTGTATTACACAATACGCTACGCGTGTTACGAGATCCCAACCATGCGAGCGCGCGAAAACACGTAATGTTAGTTCCAAGATTTAATACCAATAAATTTCTGTATTACTATGATTTCTAAAATTTGATACTTCGGAGTTGATACCGATAGACCGCTGGATTGTGACAGTGTTGGCTTGACTCCTCTTCCCTTGATGGTAAAGTTGTTTTTTAATCATGTTGTTATTGGTTAAGGCGGGTGTTGGTCATGCACAGGCCTTCTTGGTGAAGTTAGATGTCTGATGGGGAGGTTTATTCACCTGATGTCTTCAGTAAACTTTTGAAATTCCTTCATATTTGCGCATACATCAAATGCTTTTGAGTCAACTCGTACTTTGGGCGACTCTTGGACAACTCATACCATGGGCAACTCATAGTATACCTGGGACAACTCGTGGGGGGTACATTGGGGCATGAAGGGATTGGGGGAAGACGGGACGTGGGTGAAGATGGGACATGCTGTTTCTGAAGCCTATTTCTGTACTCTATCTAACGTTCTTGCCATCCCTGATGGCCAAAATGGTTCCATACATTTGTAAAGTACAAAAGAGGGCGCACTCCTCAACTACGTACGAGCTGTACCTATCTAGCGTACGACTGTGATGGGTAGAACCGTGTCAGAGAGTTTTGGCAGTTCGCTACTAGCGGTGTGGTAAGTCCTATGTAGTTCTTTAGAAGCCATTTTCAGAAAGGGAGATAGATGTTGTTAAACCTGCAGGATCAGTTTTTATTGACAAAGTATTCATCTTTTCTTCTATGTTGCACTTGTGCTTAGCAGTCGTGTCATACATTTTTCCAGCAAACATTTTGAGCTGTCTCATTTTGCCCCACTTTTGACATTTTAATGAGGGGGGGAAGATGGGACAGGTTTTAAATTGTCAATTTTTAAGGAGGGAATTTGGGGAAAGAAAGGACATAATTCTTTATTCAAGTATTGTAGATGTTTAATATCTTTGACAAATGAATTCTAGGATTAAAGAAAAAAGGTTCTGTGAAATTTGTTAAAACTATTTGGGTATTTGGCTCTCACTTGAAATTTTAGAAAGTGTTAAAACTAATCTTGAAGTGCATTTACTGTCCTATTTAGATTAGATTAGATTTAGCTTAGATTAGAAATTTTATTGTCTGCATCATAAAAAATACAGAAATTTTGTTTCCATTGGTACATCCAAATAAAAAATACATGTAGGTACTTAAAAATAGACAACAATTTACAAAATTTAACCAAAAAGATTAATCTACTAAAACAAATTTAGTCATATAAAAATTATTAACACAAATAAAAACTACCAGAAAATCCACAAACTCTTCCTGTGTAGGGGAGCTCCTTAATTGGATCCCTTAATTACGAACAGCTGATTTGTTAAATGAATAGAGTTAGGAACAAAGGATTGCCTGTCTCAAGTTAGGTTTGTACGAGGCGCACAAAGTCTAAAACCGGATCTATTAAAAACAAAACACTCAAAAAGTGGATGAGTTGGATCTGATAGAATGACATGTACCTAAGATATTCTAAGTAGATATTGTCATATGTTTGCAAGGTGAGACCTACTGAGCGTTGAGCCATTTTCCAACACGCTCAAAGCTATCCCTGTTTTTTTGTGAAAGTGAACCACACACACTAATTGTGACGTGCTCTGTAAAAATGAGTCACAAGTCTCCGGAGCTAGTTTTGAATTTTACTTTGTATTACATTGACGAATTTGAGCTTGCTGTGTTGATGTGTCACTCAGTTTGGTACAGTGAAAGTGTACATTGTGTAGATGTTAAAATGTTGAAAATTCCTGTTACTTTGAACACTGTGCAAGATTCTTTCAAAGGCCTTTAACTGGAAATTGGCTCTGGAGACATGCGACTCATTTTCACAGAGCAGGTCACAATTATGTTAAAAGTAACAATGTTCTGTATTATGGATTGGTAGAGTAGACGTAAGATCATCCTGTCAACATTGAACTGTTTGAGCTTGCGAAGGAAAAACATCCGTTGCATGGCCTTGCCAAAGACTACCTGGGTGTTTTGTTCTAGTTAAGTTTGTCATCAATAACAGTACCAAGATATTTGTACTCATTAACCCTTTCTATTTCGTTGTCATTAACCCTAACAGCCCAACAGGTGAAGGATTGAGGAGTGTTAGCGTTAATATAAACAGGTTCATGAGCTCCAGTGTTGTTCTGAAAATCTACAATCATTTCCTTAGTTTTTTGGGTATTAATAATCAGAAAGTGGCAGTCACACCACTCCACAAACTTTGCTACCTCTGTTAAATAACAGATGGAATCGTCGGTTAAATAGCCTGTAATAACTGTGTCATCTGCATATTTAATTATACTACAATTTGGGCTAGAACAGAGACAATCGCTTGTGTAGAATGAAAATGACAGTAGTGAAATAACACATCCTTGAGGAGCACCTGTGTTAATTATCCTGTCTTCAGACTTTACATCTTCAATTTTACCCCACTGCGGCCTGTTGAGTAAAAAAATATGAATCCACTGTGTAATTTTTGAAGACACATTCATTTTCATAAGTTTCCTTATTAAAATGTGAGGTTGAATCGTGTTAAAAGCACTAGAGAAATCAATAAACATAGACCTAACATAAGATTTTGACTTGTCCAAATGACTGTATACATGTAGTTCATGGATATAAACCAGTACCTCATCATCAACCCCCTGTTACTCCGATATGGGAATTGAAACTTGTCCAAATAACAACCTGCATCTCTAAGAAGAAAATTCTTTTCAAGACATTTCATTATGTTTGATGTCAGAGCTACTGGGCGGTAGTCGTTCAAGACTGATGCCTAACTTCCTTTCGGGATAGGAACTATCATAAAGGTTGTCCACAACTGCAGAATGACCCCTCTATCAAAAGTCAGTTGAAATATTTTTGTAAAAATACCAGAGAGTTGATAGCTACATATCTTCAAAATCTGATTACCTACACCATCTGGTCCCGAGGCCTTATTAATGTTCAGGCCTAAAAACACATTTCGTACATCAATCTCATCTATTACAATAGTAGTGTCCTGATCAGCACTGATTTTCTGAGAGTCTTTCAAGAATTCATTTTCCCGGGTAAAATCATAATTATCAAATCTACAATAAAAATTGTTCAGTTCATTTGCAAAATCACTGTTACATTTCAGTAATTGTTTCTTTTGTCTGTATCCGGTGATTTTCTGCATTGCTTGCCACGAAGCCCGGGAGTTATTCTGTTGAAAATTTTGCTCTAATCGCCGTTTGTAGTCATTCTTGGACAGTTTAATCTGACCCTAACAACTTTTTGTAGCTCCTTTACCCTCTCCGTACAACCAGCTGCAAAATCATTCCTCTTCTCGACGAGTAGAGTCTTAAGTTCCCGCGTCACCCACGGTTTGTTATTGGGGTAAACCTTTTGCTTTATCAATGGCATAACTGAATCAACACAGAATTTAATGTACTCTGTCACAGTTGTAACAATAATATCTATTGAGTCCATGCAATCCACCAAAGCACTCCAGTCGGTGCACTCAAGGCATCCACGCAGTTGTTCTTTGGATTCGGTTGACCAATTCTTGGTTGCTACAGTAATAGGCTTTGATTGTTTCAGAGCTTGTTTGTACGACGACAGTAGCTGAATGATGTTGTGGTCAGAGTTGCCCAATTTTGGATACACCCTGTCTTTATATGCGGATGCAATATTACCATAACGTAAGTCTAAGACTGCATGCGCTCTTGTTGGTTTGCTAACATACTGATGGTATGAAGGCATTACTTGATCGAGACTGCTGTGGTTGAAGTCTTGAACACTGACAAATTTGGCAGAATCAGGGTAGATACTTTCTAGTCGCTGAATTCTGGTAGCAATTGCCTCACTCGTGATTTGAAAGTTCGCTCTGGGTTGAATATAAATGATCATGACAAAACTTTGACGAAACTCCCTGGGCAAATAGTAGGGCCTCAATCCAACTGTTAGTAGCTCATAGTCAGAAGTACATGCTCTGTCTTTCACCGACCAGTTATTACACCAGTGGTGAAATATCTTCCCATCTTACCCCACTTTGCTCCCGACTATTATAGACCCATGAAATATTGTTGCAATGCCTTCATATTTATTGATTCAGTAAACAAACGTCCAGGAGGAGTTGTTGACATACAGGCTATTATGTTGTTTTTCAGACGGTTTGGTGCCTTTGAAAGTTTAAACAAGCCGTAAACAATGCCATATTAGCTCAAAAAGACCATGTGTTTTCTTACACCACATGTCCCATCTTGCCCAAAACTGCATGTCCCATATTGCCCCAGATGATGGGGGAAGATTGGACAAATGTCGGAACCAAAAATGTGACTTTTAAAGCCATGTCTATCTCAATAAAGCATGAGAATATGGTGAAAATGTAGTCTGTCAAATTACTTTTCATAAATATTGTCGTGGATGTTCCAGCACAGTAAAATTTAATGTAATGGCCATAATTTTTAATGTGTCCCGTCTTCCCCCAACATTCCCCCCCCCTTGAGTTTAGACCACTCGTACCTTCATGTTATCAATTCGGTTGTAACTTTCTTGCTCTCCTTTTTTAGCATGCTTAAGATCAGATATCATTGATTTGACAAACATATCAAGAAAAAATCTTCATAAATCTCCCAGAGAGATCTCAACCGCCAGCATGATTTTGTGCATAGTGCTTGCCACGGGCGTTTGCGCCGCCGGTTTACATGGCAGATGTCAAACGACCCTACAGTTTACCAACTTGACTTCCGTATTAACCCTAACCTTCCCCGACCACACAGAATTAAACAGTAGTAACGTGTTTAATTCTGTGGGGATACATGTAGGTCTGGTAGGCCCATAACAGCTGGCTTTTGCATTGGGTTTGGCATACCTCAGAAAAACAAAGTCCAACAGCCTCTGTGCACAAAGACCCATATGGGTGTTTAACTTTATGTGAATGGGGAAGGTTAGGGCCAGCAGCCCTTGGGGGTTAGGGTTAACATTCCTTGGGGGGGGGACTTTACTAAACTCTGAACTCTGTATTTTTTAGGGGGGGCTTCAATTTCTTATGGCTCTGAGAAAACGTTATTGGACCTTTTTCATTTTGTTGAGGAATGATGGCTATAGTTACTTTTGGGGGGGGTGTACTTAAAACTTGTCTTGATTTCTTTTGGAAATGTTTTTGATCTCATTTTGAAATTTTTTTTTGGGGGGGTGGTTACCTTCCTTATGAATTTCTTTTGGGACAAGTTACAACTGACATTACTTTTTACAAACTTTGAAGTAAATGAAAACATGACATCACTCGGTCATCATCGCATGCAAAGACTGTTGGCTATGTTGACCAGTTGCGTTTGCCTGACAGCGCGCACACATTAATGTCACCCCACCGGCGTGTAGGGAAGGCAGTGTAGCCAAAACGGCAAATTAGCTGATGAACACATGGCTAAGAAATCAAATTATTGTTCAAGTTAATTGCAGGAAATATGCTCTGAGCAAGCTCTGATTTCTGTGAAGGTACGAGTTGTCTCAAACGCAAAGGAACGAGTTGTCTTTAGTGGAAGCATGAGTTGCCAAAGGTGCAACTCAGCAAAGGTACAAATTGGTACAATTACATTGAGTTGATGGTACGAGTTCTCCATGGTATGCTTTGTCCAAGGTATGAGTTAACATGTTCCCTATAAGATCAGTAGCATGTAGGCCTACTCTCAATCACCGTCAGCTGTGTCACAGCTTGACCAATTGCAACAGCTCGTATCTTTTCCTTGTTTTTTGGACCCCAACAAAATGAGCCAAGCCATGATTAGTCGTTGGGATGGAAACAAAATGGGCCAATCACAGCATGGCTTTCATCTGTGTGTGACAGCTAAACAAGAAGGAAAACATGGAGTTCTGCACTTCTGTAGTAAAGCTCCAGTTCTTAGTTTCTCCGTGTAATATGAGCCTACTGTGTCCATCATGACCTATTTACCTGAATTATTTTCTCTCTGCTTAATTTCAGATGACCTGTACATACTCGACAAGTACATGTACGTTACCTACTTGGAAAGCTTCACTTGAACATGCTGACAGCAAAGACGGAATTGCAGCATTCGTTGCAGAGAAAATGGCGTAAGTAAACAGAATAAGACACTAAACATTGTATTCACAGGAAAGAGGATTTCAGAAAAAAGGAGTAAACAAACTTAACACACTTAACAGAGTAAGGAGAGGAAAGAGGATTCAAAAAGGAGGAAAGAAACTGAACCCACTAAACACACAAAGCAGAGTAGTCAGAGTGAAGAGTATTGTAGCGGTCTCCGTAGACGGGGCCTCGGGCTTGCTCTCAGCCAACTCAACGAGCGGCTGAAGAGGCGACCAAGGAGACAGGTCTTTTAGGAGGCAGTCTACCGCCAGGTGCCAAAGCTACATGTATCTGGGGGAAACTTCATACCAATGTCAACAGTGACACATGCTGAATTCTAAATTAGTCCCGTTTATTTATTAATCAAAATGGTCTCCCATTCAGGTTATTCCTATGTACTGTAGGTGAGTCGCTTACACTTACAGCACTATCCCCGCTGACAATCTTTGTTAGAGCCTGAACTGACGGCACTACATCTTGCCAGTCTGCCAATAGAAGACTGCAAGCTGCCCTCGCATTGGCCTTTTATACCCACGCACCAGCCACAAGGCGCTAACATGGCCAGTGCTCCAAATCATGCAAAGACCACCAGACTCATAAGCATAATTTATGCCGAACAATTACAACATCAACTAAGGGGGCACTCTAACCTCCCTATTTCGCTACATAGCCACGCCCCAAGATCGGTCAGTCCCTTTGACTGGAAATCTGAAAACTGAAAGTAGTGAAATCCTAAGACCAGTCTTAATCTAACAGGTATTCACCTAAACAGACTCGCCTTGCACAAAAATCAAATGACCCCGTAATTCACAATTATATACTTTCAAAGTTAACTGAATGGAACTCGTACAGTCAAAACTCTACGTCATTCAATTGGCAAAGATACAGATATTCTCTGAAAATAACTTGGTAATACAGCAGAACTTTTAACAAACAATAACTATATAAGAACTTTCCCGGCCTTGAATTTCATTTTTTTAGGACACTGCCATTTGGCATTGGTGGACTGGCTGAAATAAAGGGCAGTATTGCCAAACGTGAGGGCATTAATGCCATCAGCATACCAAGTTCTGGGCATTAATGTCATCCCTTTTTTTTATATCTCATGAAAATGATTGAGGTCTAAGAAAAAGTAAGATAAGTATTATAACTGAACATGTCCGTGATAAGTGTCTAACCAGCAGCCGCCTGTTTTGACTGCAACCACAAAAACTGGCCAGGCCAGTGATTTTGCACTGATTTTATCAGGGTAGTCCCGATCAACCAATGTCATGTATGTACAGTTTGGATCGCACGGCGCGTAGCACTAAACTGCAAGTACTACATTGTGGTTTTAGTTGAAATACTGCCGTGACCATACAATTGTCCCAGGTGCACAAAAAAACGTGGAGCTCTCGATATACCGATAATGCATACACATTGATGAGCACTTGTTCTAGACTAACATTATTGCATGATACATTAAAATACTCTGTTTGGGCATGCACTGCTATGTTAAGTTGTTGGATAGGCCGGCTGGTGTCGCCAGTGCCGCACTTGCGATCGCGCAGTGTGCATGGAGTGGGCCGGGCCGCCGGTGTGCGGTGGCTGAATGTACAATATCCCCACATACACACAGTCCACGCACGCTGTGCATATGCATGTTTGCCATGCATTTAGGTGGTGTGGAGCGGTGTTCCTGTTGAACGTGAGCGATCAAGGAACAATGTGTATGCCGCTTACATGCCGCATTCCGTGTACCTTGCTGAACAGGGGCAGTGGATATGTATGTGTAGGGCACTACGGCCAAGAGAAAAAAGGGCACTGCCATCTTGGTGGTGAAACACGATCACTTTTGAGAGGCACCACGGCCAAATGGGAGGGCACGGACGGCCATGGCCTTCCAGCCGTTGTGACCATCAGGAAATTTGAGGCCTGACTTTCATAAGATACAACTCCTAGAAATGATTTGTTTGAGACCAACAATAAAACTCCGGAGATGAAATTACTCCTTTAGCCCAGCCCCGAAGTTCACATCAAGCACTTGGGTTGTCTTGTCTTTGTTGAGTTTCCGGCTTTCCTGGTACATGCTCCTCGAAGATGTCTCTCTGACTTGGGTTACGTTGCTGACCATCGCTCTCACCAGATTGTTCTGATCCATAGGTGCTCCCAAGACTTCCTCCTCCCTGTCTCTGCAGCGGATCAGTCAGCAAAGTCAACTGGTGTTCTGTGATGCCCCAGACTCACTGGTCTTCTGTTTAGGCAGTGACTTCAAGTAGACGATGTCAAACTCTCTCTGCACTTCGCCGCAGATGGTACATCCTTCCCTGGCATACAGGTACGTTTCTCTGGTTTCTTTCACGGGAATCACTTGCCCAGGTAGGAGTTACTTTGGTACCATGGGCTGAGGCCAGTCCATCAGCTGGTTACACCTCTCGTGAGGCACGGTTTCCTCAGTAGGTTCACCGTGGAGCATTCCCATCATCCCCAGCGGCTTACCACCAGATTTAGCCATCGGTAGCTCAACAGTGGGCTCTTCTTCTTGATCCCAAAGGATCGGTGTCTGAGACAATGCTGTCTCGACTAGCTCTCCGAGAGCCTCATCCATCCAATGCTCTGAATTACCAATCTCCACCTTCTTTACTGCCTCAGGTACATCAGTGGTAGTCTAGGTACACTTGTGGCCTTCTTTGGCAGCAGCTTCACCTTGGACCTTTCAAGGTGCGGCTGTCGCATTTTCCTTGCTCTTCTTGGTCTTCTTTTGAATTGGTGAATGCTTTCATGGGCTCGAAAGATCCATTGGGGTATCATCTAGCGGCCAGGAGACAGGGCAAGGTGGTGCTTTACATTGCTCGTCACTGTCCTCTAGGGATCTTTCTCCTACTTGCTGACTTTGTCATCCCTAGTCTCCTTCCTATGACAGCGCTTTCCTTTCTCTCTGTCATTCCCTGGGGTAGACCTATCTGGGATGGAACTCCTCCTCTCCCCTTCTTCATAAGTCTCACCCTTTATCTGTTCCACCTCGAAGATCTTGTCTGGGTGGCAATCCTTGTAGTGGGCTCTGAGATTATCCCGACGGTTGTTTTTATGAGAGCACCAAAGGCACCAATATAAGAGGCGTGGACCATGCTTACCAGTTAAGTGCCAATCAAGGCTCCTCTTGTGCATCATTTTGCAACATTTTGCAAGGACACACCACAGTCTTGGACTCGGGTCGTTCCTTCTCTGACTTCCTGTCACTTCCTCCCATCTCTCGGTAGCTCTATAGCTCTGAACTTCTTTCTGCAAATAAATAGAAATTGTTGATCCTGTTAACAGTGTAACTCTCCTTGCACCCAATCAAAGCTGTTCAAGGCGCACCCCATGATTTCCTTCAGGTGCAGGTACGTCCCTACTACTGCAATTACTGCTATTACAGGTAACATTGCGGCATTCTACGCTGCCTTGGTAGATTCCGCTTGGAGGCGGCATCGTCTGCCTACTGCTTGGTTGTTCTGATGACGCCGAATCAGGTACTAGCTGCTTGGTCTGAGACCCTACGTGAATGTCTGAGCCATTAGGTTTTTTATCAACGGTCGGCATTGCTGCCTGTGTACTTGCTTGTCCTGACGTTGTTCCATCGATTGCTGCATCCCCTGTCTGGGGTTCTTCCCCAATGTCTAGACCATTTGTTTCTTCATCAGCGGACAGAATTACTGCCTGTGACTGAAGAAAGGACTCTTCCTTTTCATTCCAGTTGCTGTCTCCTGCCAGATCACTGCCAGCAACCAACGGTTCATTTGTCTGCCTCGCACATCCAGGACTCTCATTTCCCCTCTTTTCCCCACTACTCCATGGTTTCAACAGCTCACCTACGTAGTGCTTCAAACAGTCGTAATGCAGGACTTTCATTTTCCCCTTTGGTTTCCTTTGTATCCTGTAGGTTTACATCTGACAACTTGCAAATAACCAATTACGGACCTCCACATTTACATTGTAACTTAGGTCTTAGACCCTTTGTTTTGGCAGGGTTATATAACCACACGAAATCCCCTTCGCCTATTCGGTCATGGACCACACGGCGGTCATAGGCTTTCTTCTGTCGCCTGGTGCTGTTCTTGAGACACTTCCTCGCCCTACCATGTGTTGCTTGAATATTCCTGCTCAGATTGAGTGCGTAGTCGGTTTGTACTGTATTCTTGTTACCATCATTCATTGATGCTACCCCAGCAGTTAGATCGATGGGTAGGTACACTTCTTTCCCCAACATGAGCATATTGGATGTTCCGCCTGTCAATTCCTGCGGCGTAGCTCAGTGAGCGAAGGTCGCAAATGGCAAGTTCGTGTCCCAGTCTTTCTGCCACTTCTGTGGTTCAATCATGGTTGAAATCATTGTCAGCAAGGTTCTGTTGAATTGCTCACTTAAACCATCAGACTTGGGGTTATATGGTGTGGTGCATGTCTTCTCTGTCCCAAGTATGTGACACATCTTTGAGAACACTTGGGACTCAAAGTTTCTGCCGTGATCTGAATGCAACTCTACAGGCATGCCAAACCTACACATGAACTCGTTCACTAGTGTTTCCACCATCATAGTTGCCTTCTCGTCCGCCTACAGGTAAGCCTCCACCCACTTACTAAAATAATTGCCTACTACAAGGATATACTTGTTCCCCTTCTCGCTCTTTGTGAGAGGGCCTTCCATATCGACTGCGATCCGTTCCATCGGTGCACGCACAAGATGTTGTTGCAGGGAGGCTCTTTTCCTCCTTGCAGGGGCCTTTTTACTGGCACATACATGTACATTGCACTGTCGAACCATAGATCTCGCTTCACTGTCCATACCAGACCAATAAAACCTGTGTCCACTTGTCTTTCTGCCATGTAAATCTATAATTATCTAAGGACGGAGCCAGCGGGGACTACGGGCTTCCACTTCACCTGTCGGCCGTCATTGGACTCCCAGCACATCTGTAGGAATCCATCCCTGACCTCCAACTGCTCCCAAGTCAGCCAATAAGCTTTTTCTGCCAGTGAACGTGGTGAAAGAATTTCTTGATCCCGTCTTGCAGTTGCCCTTTCTTTCTCTTTCAGCACCCATTTAATGGACGCATCCTGTAGCTGAGCTTCTCTCCATTGCTTCTTGGTGATGGTAGGCACAGCCGTAATAACTATGACTCCAGCTTCCTCCGACCTGCTGACATAACTATGCTTGTCCTCACTGTTACTCTTGATCACCTCCTCACGGCCACACTGACCACACGGCCTCCGAGAAAGGCCATCGGCATTCCAATGTCAGCGGCCTGATCGATGAATGATCTTCAGGTCATGCTCTCCTATCACCTGCAACCAATGAGCCACTTGGCCCTGGGGCTCCCGGAAGTTCACGAGCACTTCAGCATGCCATGATCTGTTCTCACTGTGATTCTTCTCCTGTAGATGTACCTGCAGTGCCTAAGTTTCTTCAGGTAGACAACCACGGCAAGTATTTCTTTTCTTGTTATGCAATAGTTTCTTGTCTACTCAAGGCCCTGCTTGCATAGGCAATTACCCGTTCAATACCATCCTGTACTTGGGACAGAACGGCTCCTATGCTTGCATCACTTGCGCATGTATCTAGGACGTAGTTGAGATGTGGGTCAGGGTAGGCAAGAATAGGTGATCCTTGTAGTCGCCTCTTTAACTACTGAAATGCGCCTTCCGCTTCTGGTGACCATGCAAACTACCTGCCTTTCTCCGTCAGATGGTGGAGGGGTCGAGCAATGTCCGCAAACCCCTTTATAAACTGTCTGTAGTACGACGCGAGCCCGAGGAAGCTCTGTACATCTCTCATGGACTGGGGAGTTGGCCACTCTCTGACCATCTTCACTTTCTCAGGATCAGTCGAGATCCCTTGGCCTGTCACTATATGCCCAAGGTAAAGGACTCGTTGCTTGAACAATTCCCATTTCTTAATAGTCTTAAGCTTTAGCCCAGCTTCTCACAGTTTCCAAAACACTGTCTTCAAGCGATTAAGCACCTCCTCCACTTTGTTAGCAAAGACAATTATATCGTCCAAGTAGCCAAGAAGTGTCTTCCAATGGAGCCCCGCAAGAACTTGCTCCATTAGCCTCTCAAAGATGGAGAGGGCGTTGCAAAGCCCGAAGGGCATTACATGCGGCGAGTACACGCCCCCTCTGACCATGAAAGCTGATTTCTTCTTAGCATCGTCATCTAGTTCAACTTGCCAAGAGCCTGATGCCAGGTCCAAGGCGGACAGCCACCTTGAACCTGACAGCGCATCGAGGGAATCATCAATGCGAGGGATGGGATAGTAGTCTTTCATGGTCACCGCATTGAAGCCAATGATAGTCAACGCAGAACCACTTACTGTCATCCTTTTTATTAACCAAGACCACATTGGAGGCCCAAGGACTGTCAGTAGATTCTATTACGCCATCATGTAGCATTTCCTTCACCTGCCGTTGATCTCTTCCTGCTCCTGTTTAGGATATCTTCGTGGCCTTTCCCTTTGTGGAGAAACATTGGCGGTGTTTATTGCATGTTGAACTACGCTCGTCCACCCGATGTCTGTGCTTCCGGTAGAAAATATGTCCTGGTAGTCGTGCAAAAGCTCCGCTATTCTATGGTGATACAGTGGTTCTGCACCTTTGCTCCGGTTGTACAAGCCAATGAGATGTAAGGGAACTTCATCGTTTGCCTCTACCCTTGTTGGCATTGTCTGTGGAATTTCAATGTCTTCCTTGCCTACTGAGGCTAGAAATCCTGCCAGGGTACCTCGTTTCACAACACACAATCTCCTCCCAGGATTAAAAGTTCTAATGGGCACCTCATCATCTCCAACCCTCACTAGCAGTCGTGCCACAATCACTCCCTTGTATGCCATCTCACTTCGCTTGGCCGGCTCCATATTGCTCATACCATTCGCCTTGATCCCTCCAGCCAAATACCCCTGAGCAATAGCCTCATGTCCCGGCGGTATTTCGGTCGTTTTTGCCACCATCACTCTGGCACAAACCGATCTCCCTTGGAGTAGGTGCACTTTATCCTTTCGTCGCCAATCCTGAGTTCCAAAGTGTGAAAATCCAAACTCCCCTGCGTCCACATCCATTCCAAGAATTCCCTCCAGGGGGCCAATTTCCCCAAATATTGCATTAACAAGGAAGGTGACTTTACCCACTCACATTTGCATGTTTGCGCTGCCAATACTGTTCAGTAGTCCACCATTGCTGTCCTTACACCTGTTCCTTCCCTCTCGAGTCGAGGTCTTTTACCTGGGGGTATTTTGTAGAACAAAGTGGAATTAAGCACCGTATCGGTCGTACCTGTATCTGCCAGTAGGTGCACTCCCCTTCATTTACTTCTGCCGGAACAAATAGGCCATTTTGTGCCCTGGCTATTTTCGGTCCTGTGGGAAGATAACTATCTTTCATGCAGCTACAGTATCTGTCTTTCCTGTGGTGCCGTCACCTACTGACCCTGTTGCTCCTCCAGCCACCCCACGGGTCCCTGGGGTGGCTGCTCCTCCTTTCCCGTATAAAGTCTCCTCTGCCCGGTAGACTGTTTACAGTTTCTCTCAATGTGTCCCTTCTGCTTACACCTATAACAAATGAGATCGGCGGCTGGTATGCTTCCCCCTTCCATGGTTGTTGTCAGACGTAGGGCTCTGAGCTGTTGAACGAGAGTTACTTTCCCCTTGGTTGCACCCTTCTCCCCTTAGCTTATATCTCGCCATCATCATCTTCATTTCCTCCAAGAGGCGCTCTGTGTCAATGTCTAATATCCTGGCATATTTTGGCTTTCTGCCCTCTCTCCTGTATTTTGTGGAAACCTTTGGTTGCCAAGGCTGCCCTCATGGCTTCTTCCAGCATTGTAGGCCGTGCCTGGAAGATCCCTTCCCTGATGGCCTGACTTTCAATCGCATTAGGGAAATGTCCCCTAGCTAGGCGATCTCAGCCTTCTTCCAGTAGCTCAGGGTAAGCTGATGGATGGATTGTCCAAGCTCCTGTAGGCTTTCCTTGGCTCCTTGACATAGGTGCCTGAACTCCATTAAATGGTCTTCAGCCAGTTGTCCTGGTCCAGATCTTTTCTCCAGCTGGTCCACAAGTTTGTTGTAGGGTGGCGGACTTTCCTCTATGCTGCCACTTATGTTATTTTTTTTCCTGAGAACAGGTACTTGAAAAACCCAGGAAATGCTCTAAAATGCAGCTGAGAGCATCTATAAAGTCCCGAAATTTTCGGGGCCCTTGGGCGGGGTCTGAAACCCAGGCCATGGCTTCACAAAAAGTTGGTAAACCACAATGGAAATCCCCCACAGTTTTGAAAAATCCTGGGGAGAACCCTGATATGCACTGGTTGTGATGCACTTCCACTGCATTATACAAACTCCCTACTGTACACTGTCGGAAGGCCTTATCTCATGTTTCACATTATGCAAAGAAAAGTCCTTGGACATTTCCTGTAAGGTAATTACTGCATGTAACAATAGTTATTAATGATATACTTGGAGCATGAGGATCTTGCCCAGCAGCACAAGAATTGAATACTGGAGGATTTTGGAGGATTTAGGGTGTATCCTAGCCAAAAGGGCCTAGGCGGTTAGGGTTAATCAAAATGGTCTCCCATTCAGGTTATTCCTATATACATGTACATTTGGCGTATAATTTATGATTTACAACTGTAATTAAGCAATCAATACAATCCTGGCAATTAATTAAGTACAGGGCTGGTAACGAATGGTAGGGATGCTCAATTCACAGACCTTTTACCCAGGAATGTGCAACTTAAGCTCAGAGCTGGCTCGGTGTATGTTACGGCAGGCACAATATCAAGCTTAAGTTGGATTATGTAACACTTTCTCTAATAATAAAACATATATTCCTGTCTACCACTTTGTTTTCTTGTAATATTTTAAGTCTGGGTACACTCTTCTAAAAATATTCTGCTTAAGATATTTCATCCTATACATTCTGAGAAAAGTGTACCACAAAATGGGGGATTTTTGCCTCATTAAAAAAATCATTGTCTTTTTGACTTATTTACATGAATTATTTTCTTCTCTGCTTAATTTCAAATGACCTGTAAATACTCGACAAGTACGTCACCTACGTGGAAAGCTTCACTTGAATGGGCTGATAGCAAAGGTGGAATTGCAGCATTTGTTGCAGAGAAAAGGGCGTAAGTAAACAGAATAAAGACACTAAACATTGTGTTCACAGGAAAGAGGATTTCAAAAAAGGAGTAAAGAAACTAAACCCACTAAACACACGAAGCAGAGCAGGCAGTGGACAGAGGACTCATCAGAAATTCTGCAAACTGGACCCACTAAAAGCACACTTAACAGAGTAAGGAGAGGAAAGAGGTTACAAAAAGAGGAAAGAAACTGAACCCACTAAACACACAAAGCAAAGCAGGCAAAGGGGATTCTCAAGGAATTTCTGGAGGCTGGACCCAGTAAACACGCTTAAACGAATAGTCAGAGGAAAAAGGATTGCAAAAAAGGATTAAATAAACTAAACAAACTAAACACACTGAACAGATTAAGGAGAGGAAAGAGGATTCAAAAAATGAAGTAAACAAACTGAATGCACCAATTACACCAAGCAGATCAAGTACATGTATACAGACGAAAGAGGACTAAAAAATGGAATAAACAAGCTGAACCCACTAAATATATTAAACAGAGTGGGAGTAAACGGAGTAAACACATCTAACTCAATGAGCAGACCTTACAGATTAATTTCAGGATAGAGAATTGCAAAAAAGAGTAAACAGTCTGCATACACTAAACACATTAAGCAGAGTAAGCAGAAGAACAAGAAAAAATGACCTATTTGTAGGAAAGATTTTTCTCGCTGGTTAATTTCAGATGACCTGTAAATACTGGAGAAATTCGTCACCATTCGTGGAAAGCTTCAGTGGATGGGTTGACAGTAAAGACAGCAGTAGCATGCATAACAGACAAAACTGTAAGTAAACAGAATAATCAGACTTAACAGGTTGAAGAGAGTAAACAGACAGAGAACTCTTAACACTCTCAAGAGAGTATTTAGATTAAAAAGAATGAAAAAAACGAGTAACAGACTGAACACACTTAACAAAGTAGGCAATTAATTTTTTCTCTTTGGCTTAATATCAGATGACATATAGCTACTCGACAAGTATGTCACCTGCGTGGAAATTGTCCGTGATCAACTTCAGTGGAACAGGCTGACAGGGAAGATGGCAGGAGCATACGTTACAGAGAAAATGGAGTAAACAGGTTGAACACTCTAAGTGCACTAAATAGTTTGCCTGGTAATGAAGTTAACACTCTTACTTGTGTATTAACTTTTATAAATTGATTCATGTTGCTCGATGAAGTCGCTGTTTGTTTGTCTTCGTCAGATTTAGTTGCTGTGTGAAAATCAGCCTGATCTGCATTCACTCCACTGTGGAGTTAGAGAGAGATAGCAACACAGCTTTACTACTTTGAGGTCTCTAGAAGCCATGATGGCACAGTCTGGTTGGTATGCTCTTCCTGATCAGGCTTTCTCCATCCCTAGACCATACACCTCGGGACACTGCACAGTGCACGCCCTACAGCATCTGTGATGAGAGCATCCCAAGACCTCCATCACCTGACCCAGAGCACTGATGAAGGTTAATGGATACAAGATTACAGCCAACTCAAGACTAGAGATCCTGGAAACACATCCAGACCAGATGGTCTCCTATACCCAAGGTCAGATTAGGACCACTTGTTCTATCACCCTCCCTTAGGCAGTACCTCCAACAATATTTAGCAAGTCCAGAAGCACAAAGATCGCGAGATCAATTGGTAACTAGCTGAACTCATTTAGAGCATCCAGCACTGGTTCCATGATCACTGCATCTGTGAAGCCATCAAGATCTCCAAGCACTGCAGAGTACCCCAAGACATCCATTTTGCCATCAGCACCTAGCCCCTCTTGGACTCTCTCCAGACAGTGTGAAGAGTCATCTCTACTCAAGGACAATTTCCCCACCCTGCCCAAGTTGCCCCTTTAGCTTAGAGCTTATGGGTCACCTTTATCCTTGACAACCTTGTCACCTGACCAGTATCGCTGCCCTAGCTGCGACCTTCAAGCCTCCATGCTGTAACACATCAGGTTCCAGCAATAGTCCTCTGATGCTACTATGGGCAGATATGCCGCCCAAAACATTCTCTGGTTCTCTCCAGAACCTCACATATTCACAAAGACATATTTATATGCAGTTACTGCAAACAATCTAATGTTGCTTCCTTCATTAAGTACTAGTAAGTCTTTGATATAAAATCCTGTTTGCATGGGCTACAAGCCTGGATTTTTCATTTGCTGTCAATAATTTGTTTGTACAGACATCATTTCCTATAAATCTGTTTGATTTGCCATATTTGACATCTGGTCGTGTCAAATTTCTGTATGCGATTGTTTTCATGAGCTATCGTCATCTAATGTATTGATGAGTGGGAAGGTGCTATTTATTGTGCATTGTAAAAAGTAAACTCAACTCGTTTTTTATCTGTGTTTGGAAACCTGATGAGACGACTTTGCAAGTGATAATTATGGAGATTACTCATTAGCACATCTTCAGGTTGTGTGCAACATTGTCAGCCACTGTGAGCCAGCAGCCCTCACTTGGGCAGGCCTGTGGGCCTCCCATTATGGAAAGGACCAGCATGGCACCAGTCATGAGGAAGTCACTACACAAATACAAGAACAACCAAGAGGAAGAGGTGGGCACTAGAGGGAAATTGAAGGGGAACCATAAAAAAAACTGGATAATGCATTCTTTAATTGAATTGTATGTTGTTTCTGAAAGCAGAGTCTGCATTTTTGAAGTTTCCAGCAAACAAGATGTAGGCCTACTTCTGACAAAATGCTGGCCATCCCTGGACAGTATGAAGTCAGCACCACAACAGCTATTTGGTGCAAAGCCATTTCTGACTTGGTCCATTACACCTTTTAGTGTTCAGTCATCTCTGATATGGCATTATGACTGTGACATATCTGTGATATTTGTCATTTACAAATAAATTTAGTCATATTCAAGAAACATTAATCTCAGTTTCCTTCAAAAAAGCTGTATAATTTGTATGTTTGCACTGTTCTGAAAAGCACTGTTTATTGCTCACAATAATTTTGCTAGTCTGCAGTCTTCAAGCATGTTACGTGTCGGCTTTTGTTTATAAAAGTACATCTCTAATAATGTAGGCAGAACAAAGCAATGGTTTACATGTATATTTGTTTTACTCGTGTGCTATCGTGTTGTAATTACACAACTTAACAGGAGTAGACTCCACTGTACTTTTGGACAGTTTCAATGAAGACCCAAAATTAATCCACGCATCCTTTAGCTGATCATAATTATGCCTTATAATTTTTCTGTCAAGTTTAATTAAGACCAGAGGATGTTTTGAGCTGGTACAGGCAGTGCACATTTTAATTTGCTCTTCATGCAACAAAAAATACCAAGAAAAACTGATTCCAAAAACAATGAACTGTATTACTGTAATCAACTGTAAAAGCAAAACGTGTACTACAAGTGGGTGCATTTTTTCCAGTGTGTTAGATTTGTGTTGGTTAGTACACTCCTTCATTACCAATCAAACAATGAAATAAAACTGTTCAGATATGCTGACAAAAATGTAAAGGACTTGTCCCCTGTATTAAATTGTGAACTGTCTTTATTGGAAACTTTCCCGTGATCATTGAATACACGAGGTTCCAGGAGGCTCTGTGCGAGCAAGCTGAAATCAAAAGAACTGGCAAATAATTATTTTATCATTTCTTTGTGTTATCAAGCACAAAATGTCATGGCAGTTTCCCAAGATTAGCTCACTATTTACGTAGAAGCGTTTTACAACTGGCGGGCTAAACCCCATCATTTAAGTCAGAACTTTAATCTTATTCCCGTGTAATATTTTTAACTAACTTATGCTGAGTATGATGATGTAATGTAGTGAACTTAATAAAAAAAATTAATGGTTAAGACCAATGCATATGTGACCAAGTACATCGTAATCAGGAATAAGTCGCTGAGGCCGGTTTACGTAATGGCCGAGTAAAGTGGGGATGTTGGTAAATGTTGAAAATAATCGATGTGGCCGTTTTTGTATATTTTGAAAGTGTGTCTATGAAAGGTTACCATCAACACACTTGTAATATGTACCATTTGAAAGCTTATGAACTTCTCTTTTTGACCATGTACATATCTCTAAAAGTCAATGTGCGACTTATTCCTGATTTCGATGTACCGAGTCACATAAGTTCACTTTTCCAGGGTTTCCGCGTTGAATGCAAGATTTAAGTGTAACCCCCTGCACCCTATAGTTAACAGCACAAGTCGATGTTTATTTTCTGCAGTTTGCGACACATATATACAGTTGGTGTAGAGTGTGGAGGAACGGTTTAAAAAAAAATCTACCATTTTTCAATCCAATTCATGGTTGCAAAATATAAGTAATTTTTTCAGTCCAATTCATGGTTGCAAAATGTAAGCACTCTGTTTGTGTCCCATGTGTGGGCAGCAGGGTTCGAATTCCAGAATATAATTGTTTCATCTCTCGACCCTTTCTTTCCTCTTCCTTTAGCGATTCACGTCACAGTTTGAGAAAAATAAGATGTGCTTTCGAAGCCGATTGTAGCGTGTAGTGGAAGCGCTTGGCCACTAATAGTGCGACATGCTCGAATACCAAGTCGTGGAATCTTGAATTCCATTTTTCTTGAAGAAAAACCCTGCAGATTAAACATGAAAAAATCTGTCTTTTATTTAGATATTTTTGTGGAAGGGCCGTGTTCGTAAGCTTTAGACGATGATTCTAAGGCAGGCAGATATGTTTTAATTACATTTGACTAATGAAACAACTGTTTTTTTTGGGGAGGGGAACTCGCTCTTCTTCAAGAGATGTTTGTGGTGTATTTTGGAAGCTTAAGCTGCTTGTTCGTAAGTTTGAGATGATGGGTTGAAATCCTGATACAGACACGTTTTCAGCTCTGTTGTTGTTGCTGTAATAATCACGACCTCTGTAGTTTATAAATTGCATTCTAAGGGCTGAGCTTGAAAGGTCACATTTCTATTAGAGATGTAGGCGTACGTGGTGTATTGTGAGATAAACGGGCTCAAGTGACACCAAATTCTAATTTATAAATTCAAATCTAAGGGTTAAGTGTATAAAAAAGAGAGGACCTCTCAGGGATGTATGTGGCTCAGTGTGGAAGTGCCGTGCTCGAAAGTGTTGGAAGCTGGTTCGAATCCCGGAGAGGCACCTTTTTTTCAATTTATTAATTCAAACCTAAGGTTTAAGTATACAAAAAATCAGTGCTCTTTCAGAGAAGCATGTGGCTCAGTGTGGAAGCACTGTGCTCGAAATTGTAGGAAGCTGGTTCGAATCCTAGAGGGTACTTTTTATATTCCAATGTACAGATTAAAATCCAAGAGTTAAATAAGTGAAAGTGGAAAAGTTGACTGGGGACCCAAATAGCGAAGTGGTTAAGACCACCGCCTGGGAACCAGAGGACCTAGGATCAAATCCGAGACACGGGTGGAGTGGTATGGTATGGTGGACATCAAGTCCCGTACCACTCCACCCTCTTTTTATGCCCCGGGGCCGATTTGGGGCCGATTTGGGGCCGATTTGGGGCCGATTTGGGGCCGATTTGGGGCCGATTTGGGGCCGATTTGGGGCCGATTTGGGGCCGATTTGGGGCCGATTTGGGGCCGATT